CTAGCTAGATAGCTAGATACATAGATAGATAAATAGATAGATAAATAGGTTGATAGATAGATAGATAGCTAGCTAGATAGATAGATAAATAGGTTGATAGATAGATAGATAGCTAGCTAGCTAGCTAGATAGCTAGATACATAGATAGATAAATAGATAGATCGATAGATAGCTAGATAGCTAGATAGCTAGATACATAGATAGATAAATAGGTAGATAAATATATAGATAGATAAATAGGTTGGTAGATAGATAGATAGATAGCTAGCTAGCTAGATAGCTAGATGCATAGATAGATAAATAGATAGATAAATAGGTTGATGGATAGATAGATAGATAGATAGATAGCTAGCTAGATAGCTAGATACATAGATAGATAAATAGATAGATAAATAGGTTGATTGATAGATAGATAGATAGATAGCTAGCCAGCTAGATAGCTAGATACATAGATAGATAAATAGGTTGATAGATAGATAGGTAGATAGATAGATAGATAGCTAGCTAGCTAGATAGCTAGATACATAGATAGATAAATAGATAGATAAATAGGTTGATAGATAGATAGATAGAAAGATAGATAGATAGATAGCTAGATACATAGATAGACAAATAGATAGATACATAGGTTGATAGATAGATAGATAAATAGATAGATAGATAGATGGATAGATAGATAGCTAGCTAGCTAGATAGCTAGATACATAGATAGATAAATAGATAGATACATAGGTTGATAGATAGATAGATAGATGGATAGATAGATAGATAGATATGGAGAATTGGTAGCCCACCTGGGCCAACCTACTCGGACATCGACCTGGCAGGTGATCGAAAATGACAAAGACGAGGAGACGTCTCAGCATCGTCCCGGGACGCCCAACGTCGTGCCCTGGAGATGGCGCATGTCATGGGATGTTCAGTAGGATTTAATGGCATTGATTGGGAATTTCATGGGAATTGATTGGGATTTTACTGGGGATTTAATGGGATCTAATGGATTTTGAAATGGATTTTGAAATGATGTAAATCGGATTGAATTGGTTTTCATGTTGATTTCAGAGGATTTCGTGGGATGTCACGGGGATATTTCATGGGAGATATCACCAAAATCTTGGGGGTATGATCCCTAGGCCAAGGTGCTGCGGATTTTTGTTCGGGACTTTGCTGGTTTTTACTGTTACCCTCTGGTAAACATTTACAAAAAACTATGGAAAATCACATTTTTTAATGGGAAAACTCACTATTTCTATGGGCCATTTTCAATAGCAAACTGTTATAAATTACCAGAGGGTATTCTTTACACCTTTGCAGGTTCTCAACTCTCAATTTCAGAAACATTGCAGCAAGGGCGTCTCAAAATGGGTTTTGCCTACCTCCATTGTATGGCCATGTTTTGTTGGGTTTTTTTGTTTCTGATTCACCAGAGACGTTTCCCCCCTGATAGATTCATCTACCTCCACCCACTGTTCACCCCATGAGGTGATTGAGCAGAAGCCTGAAAAGAAGGTAAAGGTGGTGGTGCAGGAGGAAACCGTTGATACCTCGAAGCCGACGGATGATGAGAAGACCCGGGTCTTCCCCGTGGACTTTGAACGCTGGACGTCCAAGTGGCACAGTGCTGTCTCGGAACGGGGGATTGGCGAAAGTTGGGAGCTCCCAATTTTTTTGGGATGAACATGCAGTGGTATCGATAAATGATAGTTAAAATGCGTCCAAATCGGTGGTAAGTTATATGTTTCTACATTTTTTTTGCAGCTAATTATAGGATTGAACATCAGCAACACCAGCAGCTGGATATCCCGCCGGCCAAGGTCGGACCTTCCATCGAGATAAGGTGGTTTTTACCAAGGATGTTGGGATGGCCCAGTGGGGGTTTCTGATCCGGGGCTGAATGGAGGAAGCGGTGATTAGATTCTGGTTATGGCACCACATTCCCCGCGTTGCGGAGCCAGGAGCTATGAATTGAGTTTCCTAACCACATGATAGTTAACGGAAATGCTGTGTGAAACTGTGTTGTATAGAATGGCGTAAGATGGCTGAAGCCCAATAGTCAAGATTGGAGAAACTCAAGTTGCACATCCGGTAATTTGGGTCTTGGTGTGCCTCGGTTATCTTCCCAGACGTTCCAAAGATAGTGTTTGTCATAGGGCGTAACTGGCGTCCTTGTCACAGTCAAAAAACATCTATGCCACATAATATATCATAAGAATGTATAATTAAAACATAATATGTGTGGACTGTCTAAGGGATGTATATAATGTTTCATATCTCTCAACCATGCCCTTGGGCCATTGGTTTTAACGAAAATGCATCACGTGGCTGTTGATAGTATGAATCATCGACCAAAATCAGTGGTGACATCTCTTGTACTCACAATGTTTGTCACGTGTTGTTTGTCTTAACATGTTTTATAGGTGTAAGTATTCCATGGATTATAAAGTAGCCAAACTGGACTGGTCCCCAGACTTTCACCAAATGAATTGCCGGAAAAAAACAGCAGCTTTATCAAAGAATCCCATGTCTCATTATACAGCTATCACTAGTGCTATCATCATTCGTGTGATTATCATCAACACATCTTCTTAGGTATGATAAGTATATATACAGTAGTAGATCATGTTTTTTAGATCTGTAATATGTTTTTTTGGCAATGGAAAAACAAAGTTATAGATTAGCTATAGATTGCCCAAAAATCATCTCAAAAATCTCAAAATATGTTTGGTATAGTATTTTTCCCAGCTCTAAACACCCTTTTTTGTTCGCCAGCTGTCAGGCCTGGGGCCGCTCAGTCGTGAAGGTGATGAATCCCACACAGCGCAAACCTGACCTGTGAGCGCCAGATGCGGCGTCAGGCGAGCTGTTTTTAAGATGGCCGAAAGTATCCTAAGTATAAGTTATCTGATTGTTGAGTTAGTTGTGTTTATGTTGTTTTTTTGGAACGATTGGCGTTTTAGTTATTTATTGGCGGGTTTTAGAATCAAATTATATATTTGTCTTGTCGGTTGTTTTATTTGTTGCTTCGCTTCAAGAAACACTGGCACCCTTCCGCAGTGGCGGGTTGCAAGGATGCGCTGATTTTTTTGGTGTGCTTAGCACCAAGTGGGTTGGTGTCCAAAGAGGGGTCTTCTCGAGATGTTTAATTTAATCAATGAGGCAATGATTTCGTGAGGTGCTACTCCATTTGCAAAAGACCCAAATAGGTAGGCAAGACTTCAATGGTAGTTAGCAGAAACGGGGCGCGTTTCAAGGTGGACTGTCTAAGACATTCCCGCCTTGACAAAGGCCGGAATTGAGATGCAAGCTAGGCCAAAAAGGATTTGAAATCTAGGCTCCAACATCATTTTGCTCAGTTCATCCGTTGAGGTGCTGCGGCTTTCAAGCATTCAACATGGAATACAACATAGATAACAACAGTGGCGTTCCTTTTTATCGGTGGCTTCGAAGATTCGTAAGATTCGTTCACGTTCAGTCATTTTGGGGATGATAATCGACTAATAAGTATATGCTTGATTATTTTTGGGGATAGGCGGAAATCGCAAGCCAGTTGATCGTTCATGTGTTGATTCCGAATTCCATGTCGCCCAACTGCAAATGCCGAACTATGCTGCCGCTCTTTGGGCTTCGGTTTCCAGCAGCGTCCACTCATCCCAATTTCATTGGTCCCAATTTGTTGAGACAGTGATTGCAGAGCCAACTGTCCGGACCCCAGTGATGCGAGTGGGACACGGGTCGGCTCAAATTAAATGACCAACTGGTGTAGGAGGGACGATGGTTTACCGAAGATATGCCGGGAACGGTTCAAAATTGAATTCTCTCCCCTACTGATTTTGGCATACTTTGGCGAGTCGTCGTGTTACACTACATGAACCACTCCATACCATTCCCACTTTGGGTTTCAAATCTTCATAGATTGTCTAAATCTTTTTGGAATGGTATGATTGGTACTTAATCTATGTGTTCAATTTTTACTGACTAGTATTCCTAATCTCTGTTGATCATGACTAGTATTCCAATGTATTCCATACTATTCCATACCATTCCCAATCATGTTGTGTACCGAATCTTAAGCCATGCTGCCTTGAATATCTCATCGCTGGAGCAACCGACTGCTTAGATGGTGAAATGCGTGGCCTCCGGTGTCATCAAACATGGCTGCGAAAATCATCGATTTTCTGGGATCTTCCAGCCAAATGTGACCGACCATGCCCAAGTTGGCCTGGTGCCGCATATTTACTGATCATCATGCAAATCTGCAGTGTTTGGCAAATGTTCGTTACGGATTCCAAGCATAGGCATGGGTAACCGCACAAAAAAACTCGATGGCGTTCCTATAATTACTCGAAGCTATCACAATGAATCAGGAGTTCCAAGATTCAATCCTTGCCACTAAGAGCAGAATCAGTCAGTTGGACCAATCCCAATGGATGTAGAAACAAACACAGGAAACCATGCATTGATCATCAAATATCGGTCCATCCCGCGTTGCTGTGTTTTGCATGGTATCCCCATGGTAGGTCACAGGTACCCTCTGGAAAACTAACAGTTTGCTATTGAAAATGGCCATAGAAATAGAGGATTTACCCATTAAAAATGGTGATTTTCCATAGTTATGTTAGTTTACCAGAGGGTATCCCGATTTTGGTGTGAGTATCCCCATGTTTGCTGGTAGGTTGTTCTACCATGACCGATGACACTGTTGACACTCCGAAGATGGGAGCATTCCTTTTCACCGTTTTTCGTCAGATTTCTCCTTTGTCACCCTTAGTCTCCTAAACCAAGAATAATGTATCAATATAATTCTAAATATATAATATATATATAAATGATAATAATAATAATAGTAATAGTAATAATAATAACAAGAATATATATATGTTTTACATATCACTTGCATCACCATGTTTTCTGATGCGTAAAACCTCATGATGTTTGTTCCTTCAAGGGATTCCGATCTGATTCCTGGGCTTCCTGGGCTTCCTGGGCTCAAGGTGCTCGGAATGGCAAGCACTGATGAGGAGGTCGGGCAGAGTTGCCATCAGCCACTCCCAAGTAACCAAGGAACAGGGTTGGGTTTTTGGCCATCAAAATATGAAGAGGCGCTACTTGACCAACCAACTTCATACTTGGTGGTCAAAGTGTGAAATCCATGATTTGCCGCCAATCAGAATCATGGTGATGTGTTCAAAGATTGAGAACCCAGAACCCAATATGACTTGGAGAGCACCCCTAGAGGTATGTGGCTCAAGGTGGTTTCATCACCCAATGGATTCCACGTCTCAGGGCTTCCCATGACCCATTCGGAGAAACAAGTGGTACCGGCGCTGCCAGACTGGCTTAAAGAGTGGCGAGAAGAGTGAAGACCAGGTCGGATCGATGCTGATGTCACTGAGTTTAGGTTTTTCTGGGTGTTGTTAAGTTTTTTTTCTAGAGGAAACCAGGGTGCTTTTGTTACTGTCAAATAAAGATGGTTAAACTGTAGGTTTTCGAAAAAAACACTGCGGGATGGTTGAGAACCACTTTTTACTCTGAAAAAAGACGTGTTTTCTAAGCCTGGTATACACTGGGATAGAGCCATCCCCATGGGGATGGTAATCCTCCAAACACATTTCACTATGCAACAGGTTGTCCATTACACACACATGTTACATCATGTTACGGATGTTGTGTGTTATGTAGCAACCATTGTGTTTTTTATCCATGATTTATGGTGATAGATATTATCTGGATAAATTAACTAACTAACTACCCCAACACATCCCAAAATAGCATAGTTTCAGGTTAGTGAAATAGTATAATTGACCCATAATGTTATGATCATCTTAAAATACAGCATCATATTATAATATGGCTATTATTATCATCAAATATCCATAGATATTCATAAATATTCATGATTTATGGTTATACATATCATTAAAATTGACTAAGGGTATTCGGGTGATCCATAAATATTTATAAATATCATCTGACAGCTATCATATCTATCATCAAATTATCATCAAATATCCATTATTATATCATTAACATTTACTCAATGATTACAATTATATATCATTAAGTAATGTATATATATTTATCAAAATATATCATTAAAATATCCATTATTATATCATTAACATATCATTATATATCATGTTTACAAAGCTATGGCAGCGCGGGGACTCTGCAGTGCTTTTTTCGGAGCCGGCTCCAGGACTTGGACCCTGACCGGGATCCTGAGCTGGTCGGCCCCTCAGCGCTGGAGCACGACGGCACGACGTTTCGGAAGATGATCAGTAAGGATTGCGTTAACTATCCTTAAATATCCTTAAATGACATTAGTAATGGCCTCATTTCAAGTGCGCGAAGTGATTGTTTATATATATATATATAATTATACATATATATATAATATATTCCGATTCTTTGAGTCATGGGAATTTTACCTACACAATTGGGGATTCACATGGATTCACCAACCTCATTTGTTGGGGACCTGCACAGACTCAATTGGGACCTGCGATGTGCATCCACCGATAAGAAACTTTCCATCAACTCATGTGATGATAGGGTGGTCACTATGGTGATGTGTTTATATAATTTTATATATCCATTGGCTTATATATAATAGCTCTTTCATGGACTTCTGAGATGAATAGGTTTGTCTCAAACTATGGCTACCAAATGTTGATGGTTACCACTGTCCCTACTACTTTGATGGTCATTTACCACAGCAAGCGAGTTGGGATACCCAGTGAATGACATGGTGATATTCACTTTTGTGGCAGAGGATGGCCCACAAAACTATGGGTTTCAATGACTTGCATGATTTGGGGTACCCCCCCTCCATAATTCTATACCATATAAGAGTATATAATGACATAATAGAATATATATATATAATATATACTATACTATACATGTTTAAAACGTGCATACCAGTTTTTGGACCTGATCAGAGTGATTGTCGCCCCACTGTTTTGATCCATGTTTTGACCGCAGGCCCAGAAGAAGAATGGTGGCAGGCAGCGTGGGATCTGCAGTTGAGATCCCCATTTCTGATCACATTCCCATGGGGATCCAATAGAGTTGTTGACCAACAATCCCCATGGGAATGGCACCATTGCTGTTAGTCAACACCTCCCCAATATCCCCAATAGACCATAAATGTTACAGATTGTTCATAAATCCCCAATAGATGATGCATCATACGTAAATTTACGTATTATGTCAAAAAGGCATTTAAGTTTATCAATCTGTAACATATATGATATTTCCTCACACATCATCACACACATGTACACCAGTTTGGTATTGAAACAACCAATTACCAAGGTTTTGGGGATCAGCCCATTTCAAGACACGGCGCCATTAGTAGGAGAATGTGGATGAAGCAATGGATGTTGGGGATCACCCCACTTGAGATATAATTACCATGATATAACATGATATATCATCAGCGAGTCTCGAGTTGTGATTAACATGGTATGTTCACATCTGGTTATGGTTCAAAAGCCTGGTACCTTGGTAAACACCATCTTTTTTTGCTGGTGAATGGTTGGTAATCCCCCCAGTCATATGGGGGGTTCAATGGAGGTACTCGAATAGCTGGATGGTTTATTTCAGGGAAAATCCTAATCTAAAATTAGGATGATAGAAAGGGGTACCCCCATTTATGTAAACCTCCATATGTAGATATGCAGATATCCTAGATAATGATTGATATCAGTTGGATATCTAAACTAATCATTGGATATCGGAAAATTATATTGGATAATCCATCTATTAGATATCGGTTACCATAGCTTTCCATAAACCACCCATAGTTTTTTTCAGATGGGTTTCTTGTTTGGTATACCCATTTTTTGTTACCATATGTTTGGTATAAACATTACCATAGGGGCACATGTATATCAGATGGGTTTCCATCTGCTACCCTCTGGTAAACTAACATAACTATGGAAAATCACCATTTTCAATGGGAAAACTCACTATTTCAATGGCCATGTTCAATAGCTATGTTAGTTTACCATCTGCTAATTTCCATTAGTCCCATTAACACCCCATCAAATCCCATTAACATCCCATAAAATCCCATTAAAATCCCATTAAATCACCATTTTCAATGGCTAATTTCCATAGGTTTTTCCAGCCATCCCCAGTTCCGGTCGAAAGCGCTCGGCGCCAGGTTCGACAGCAAGAAGGCCATTTTGCAGGTCACCTGGAGGTTCGGAAGTTCGGTTCCACCGGAAGGGTAGCGGAACCATAGGGAAACCGTAGGAAAACCGTAGGAAAAACGTAGGAAGAAAGCTGGAACCATAAGAAAACCAATTACATCAATGTGATGGTTAGCGGATTTTTTTTGATACAGCTCCCAATGTTTCAAAAATGAGTCTTTGTCAAGCATCTTTGATTGCAGGGATTTCATAACCTCGAATCAATTGAGAGATTGGCTTGTTATGGTTTTAGCACTTGAAATGGGGATTGATAGGGAAAATCAGCAGCAAATGTACGATGTATATGTCTATGTATTGAATTTTAGACATCAAAAAAATGTGGTTCGCGGGAGGTGTATTTGACTCAGCACACTTTACAGGCAGCATGGAACTTGATGGAACAATGTTTGGCTACAAATTGGTTTCACCACGTGTTTACTGGAACAAAACATCATCATATAAGTAGATCACATTATATAACATTATAAATTATATTTATATTATATGTTCATTATAACTTATTATTATTATATGTTTTTTATTTATTTTTATTAGATGTTATTATTATATATGAATATCATTATTTTATATTCTTATCATTGTGTTTACTATTATCAAATATATTTTTACTATTATTATTGTTTATTATATAATATTATTATTATTATATATTTTTACTATCATGTATTATATATTATGTACATTTTTAATTTTGCTATTATATCGTATGTTTGTTATATATCGTTGTTATTACATTTATGACTACCAACCCTGCTAACCACTGAGGACACTGAAAATAATTATTTCTGCGAGGAAGGGTGTGAAGAATCTGTAAGAAGAAAGTGTAAGATAACTGTAAGTTTTTTTTGCTGTAGTTTAGACCGTGTGAGTGAATGTGTGAGATTGGAATCATCTATTTTGTACTATCATGTTGCATGATTAAACGGATATATGTATATTTAAATGTATATATATATAAGACATATACATGTATGTACATCATGAAAAAATCGGACATTGAACAATTCAAATGGCCATATCCTGCGATGATGACGCAATGCAGCACATACCAGGCGCCAAAAACCACCCATAGAAATCTGAAGGCAGGATTGCTCGCAGAGTTTCTCGCGCAAATCTGACAGATCTTCTCACAGGTCCCTTCGTACCTCACAGATTTCTCACAGATTTTGATCACAGATTTCTCACAGAATTCTCACAGATTTCTCACAGATTTCTCACAGGTTTCTCACAGATTTCTTCCTACCCATGGCTGAAGGAAATCTGTGAGAAATCTGTGATTTAGCTGGTGTTTTTGATTTTTTGGTGGATGATTCAAGCAACTTGGCTTCCTTGTTAATGACCTAATACTGCGATTTTACCTGGTAAATTACATATTCTTAAATAGTATTATTGTATATTATTATGATTATGTTGTTTATTTTTATTTTTATTTTTAGTTTTATTATATGTTATTATATATTATTATTTATTAGTGTATATATTTTTTAATGTTTTAAATTGTTATTTTATTATTGGTTATATATATAAATATATCATTATATATTATTTTATACTATTATATATTGTTATATATATGATCAATTATTATTTATTATATATTATTTTATTATTATTTATATATTATAATATATGTTGAAATATTATTAAATATTGTTGTTTAATTATTATATATCAATATATATATATTTTTTATTGGCATATATTATTATATATTATTATGTATTATTATATATTATTTGATATTATTAAATATAATTTTATATTATTGTATACTATTATATATTATTATATATTATTATATATTAGTATATATTATTATATATTATTATATATGAGTATTTATTATTATATATTATTATATATTATTTTATATTATTATATATTATTATATATTATTATTGTCACCGACAGAATTATGGGAAAAAAAAACGTTCAACTTAGACAGGCGGCGCCTGCGTCCGATTTTTCCATAATTAGGTTTTTCCCCATAAGGGTTCAAAATATCCCGGAAGTGATCCGAACCTTTTTTTTTTCCATAATTCTTGGAGGTGGCCATTATTTCCATAATTGATTTTTCCTGTAAAATCAGGGGGCTAGGGCAGATTGACCGGTTTTTCCATAATTATTTTTTCCATAATTATTTTTTCCATAATTATTTTTTCCATAATTAATGTTTGGGGCTCCACCTGTTGGACATATCCAGATCTTTAGACACATATTTTCTAGAATTCAATATTCCCCCTTAAAATGCATTCAAATTGCGAACATCACATGATATTATGTATATCAATGGCAGGCTTTAGGGGCATATACCAGATCTTTAGACACATATTTTCTATAATTCAATATTCCCCCTTAAAATGCATTCAAATTGCGAATCGATGGACATACAGTCACCGACAGAATTATGGAAAAAAAAATAATTATGGAAAAAATAATTATGGAAAAAAAAAGGTTCGTAACTTTTCTATCATAGACAGGCGGCGCCTGTAAATTGAAACGTTTTTTTTTCCATAATTCTGTCGGTTCCTGTATATATTAGTATTTATGAGTATATATTATCGTATATTATTTTAAATTATTAGTAGTATTATTATATATTATTTGTTATTATTATATACCATTATTTATTATTATATATTAGTATATATTATTATTTATTATTGTATATTAGTATATATTATTGTATATTATTGTATATTAGTATATATTATTGTATATTGTTTTTTATTATTATCTATTAATTTATATATAATTGTATATTATTGTATATTATTAGATTTTCTGAATACTATTTTATGATTATAATTTATTATATGTTTCAATTTTATGTTATATTTTATATTATTATATGTATATATATTTTATTTATTATGTATGATTATGTTTTTTCCCGAGAGCGTCTGAGCGCAGGGTTCTTCCAATAGTGGGGGTCTGTAAAACATCTTCACATCTCATCTTCACATCCTCTCATCTTCACATCTGCTCATCTTCACATCCTCTCATCTTCACATCCTCTCATCTTCACATCTCATCTTCACATCCTCTCATCTTCACATCTGCTCATCTTCACATCCTCTCATCTTCACATCCTCTCATCTTCACATCGGCTCATCTTCACACCTTCCCATCTTCACATTTGCTCATCTTCACACCTTCCCATCTTCACATCTTCTCATCTTCACATCTGCTCATCTTCACATCTGCTCATCTTCACACCTTCCCATCTTCACATCCTCTCATCTTCACATCTGCTCATCTTCACATCCTCTCATCTTCACATCCTCTCATCTTCACATCTGCTCATCTTCACATCTGCTCATCTTCACATCTGCTCATCTTCACATCTGCTCATCTTCACATCTGCTCATCTTCACATCAGCTCATCTTCACATCTGCTCATCTTCACATCTGCTCATCTTCACATCTTCTCATCTTCACATCTGCTCATCTTCACATCTGCTCATCTTCACATCTGCTCATCTTCACATCTGCTCATCTTCACATCTGCTCATCTTCACATCTTCTTATCTTCACACCTGCTCACCTTCTCTCTCATGCCTTCTTTTTATCTTTCTCTCTTAAGGCCGAGGGTGGTGCCGGCGGCGAGTCACGAAACGTCAACCCTTTCGCACGAAATGAGGGTCGATCGGCAAAAACTGAGGAAAAAATTGCGATTTTACTTGTCCTAAAGCAACCCTTTCGCACGAAATGAGGGTCGATCGGCAAAAACTGAGGAAAAAATTGCGATTTTACTTGTCCTAAAGCAACCCTTTCGCACGAAATGAGGGTCGATCGGCAAAAACTGAGGAAAAA